CACAGACACAGAACCATTAATACTTACTAAATATCTTGTTGCTATTTTGTAATTAGTTTCCAACATACTATGTGGCTTCTACAAGAGTAGTAAATGTACCTTTGGCTTCATCCTTGTTTGTCACATTCCATCTCTGTTGCATATCCCTAAGAGCCTCTAGTAGTGTTGTTATCGGTCGGTCATGAACGGATCAGATGGCAGCATTTATTGATTCAGCAACATTAGATGTCATGGTAAAGTATATATTTTTCGGGCAATGCACTCGTGCCCACTTGTGAACGCCATTTTTTTCTAGATAGGTTACGACATTCGGATTCAACTTCATTATTTAAGACATATGCATATTGAATTCATCTACGGTATAGGCCCTTGCCACTGCATAAAACTCCTCTTTCTACTGTTTGTGCCTCAGTCTTATAATGCATCTTCAATTTGTTTGAGATATGATAGGTGCATAGACAATGCGCCGCATTAGGGAATATCTATATAAAAATAATTGATGATTGATCAGTATATGTAGTATATATATATATATATATATATATATATATATATATATATGTGTGTGTGTGTGTGTGTAAGCATATGAACCATACACTGCTCAGAATCTGAGCATTATATGTACCAGTAAATATACTCAATTATCACTGAAAATATACCATTACCTTTTCTACAACGTGTCTTATGCTTTCGTGACCATCTGAAACAATGCATAGACCATCCCTCCACCAATAACAGCTTGCAATTTGTAAAAAATCACACGTATGAGTGGTTATTCTCCGAATCAACAACACTAAATGCAAGCGGTAAAATGTGAGAATTTGCATCTTGACAACATGTTGTTAACAAAAGTCCCCCGTATGCCCAAATCAAAAATGTCCCATTGACAATAACAATTGGCCGACAATGGCCCCATCCCTTAACAGATACTCCGAGTGACATAAAAACATACAAGAAATTCTTCTCCAAAGTGATACTCACCCTAAAAATGCTACCCGAATACCTTCATCAACTTTGCCATGTACTTCATCAATAGCTTTCCTTTTTGACCTCCACGCTTTTTGGTACGTCAAGTTTATCTCAAAACGACTTTGCATGTCGTCAACGATATCAAGGGGATTATATGCAGTATTCGTGTTCGTGAATTTCATCTTGATAAAAACACTAACAACGGTTGAGGTAGCTTGTCTCCGGTTACTTGTTCGAACATCCAATGGACATACATGTTCAGTCCCGACACCCCTTATCTTAAAAGTATTAGACTTACCCAATAGTGATGCTTTCACAAACCATGAACAATCGTTCGATACACACCTTACATAGTATTGTTTGGAGCACGACTTCTCCACCTTGAATTGATACTGCATGGTCAACAATTTTTGAAGCTTTTTTTTATCCTTTAGCAAACGACCAGCAACAATGCCGTACTCGACATTTCGTTCGAATGTCAACCCCATCTTAGTGTCAGGGTTTATGTTGTGTATATTTTCGGTATATGCAGTGGCTTCTATGATATCTACAGCAACATTCCTCGCGAAAGACAAGAAATTTATCGAATCATCTGTTACATCAGGATACCTGTCAAGATCTGGATAACTCAAAGGTGCAACATTTGACTCGTAATTCATAGAACACATATTCCGTTCATTATCCATCGAATCTTCAGCAATACTATGAGCTTTTCACATCCAAGCAAGTAGGAAACTTCGTGTAGTCATCTTCTTTGGACTTCAAGAAGAAATAGAAGTAAAGGCTTCTGTCGTCTTTTATGGACATTGGTGGACACCCTTCGTTCAGTATATATTTCAGCTCAATGACAGATGATTGAGACATCACCCTAAACTCGTCACACAATATACCACATAATGCTTTGAAGATGCAATCTTTTCTTACCAAAACCCCGTCAGAGGGTAATTCACATAATCGTTCTCGATCCATTCACCCCCATGATGTATGAAAATCATCATGCTTGACTCCATTTACAGAAAAAAAAAGACACACAAATTAATAATAGTGGAAAGGATGAAATCGAAAATAAACGTTCAAATAAAAAAAATCTCAAAATTATGTGGTTTTAGATATACGATAAAATTATACAAATATACCTCGATTTCCATCGCCGGTGAAGTCACGATTTTCTGAAGTATATGTTCGATGAATTATTGTGTTGCATAAACTCCGATCGATCACGTAGCTTTATATATATATATATATATATCTGTCGCGATTATGAGTAGTATTGAGATTCAAATCTCATATCTTTTCCATAAATTTTGGTCTGATATGAATTTGAAAAGAAGATTACGTTTTTTTTTTTTTCTTGGTAGTGATGGCGGAAATCACGCCATTATCGGATCGAATGGAGGACGTTAATAAGGTAATTGATTTTAGGCAATCTCATAAATAAAATAGCTTCATTAGGTATATATCCAATTATTTATTCTCTGAAAGTAAAATTAAAATTTCTTTTATATCATGCAGTAGGTGTAAAAATTTCCCATGAAAGTATGCATTGGAGGTCTGTGGACAATACTTTCTATGAAATCACAATCCAATTGTTTATCGCAACGTGGCAAAAAAATTTTAACATTGACGTTGAGGCATTGGAGATGCTCTGAGTGTAGAAAAAGTTGGCAGCGAGGGATTCCGAAGCGATGGTCTCACAGCCACATAAGCAAGTGTTGCAGTAAATAGATCCCTTTTGTAGCGAGGGATCAACCATGAAATTGGCACAAACAATACAGGCTACTACACAAAAAGCAAATAACACTCACCATAAACCTACCTTATATGTTCAAAGAGAATGGAGAAAAGCACCCAAAATGAACGGTTGCATCTATAGTTTGGAGTTCGACAATCTATTGGAAAGAAAACATGATTCTTGATAAGGGGCTTTTCAAAAGAGCATTTAAAGTAATCATCTAATCTTCAGCCACAAGTATGAAATAATGTCTCGTTTCTTTCAATTACATGCTTAAGAAAAGGGCCACATGTCGCTCATATAAGGTATTACAGAGAAGAAATTTCATCTAAAAAGGGAAAAAGTTTCCAATAAGCAATAAGCATGAATGGGATTTCAGAAAACAAAAGAACAAATAGAAGCAGCTCGATGACGATGGCATATTTGACACAAGTTGAAAGAAGCTCCAATTCCAGTATCACCCAAAACAAGTGAAAAGGAAAATATACAAACGCCACAACAGTGCCTGCCTGCATATATATATATCCTTCAACAGCCCTTAGGCTTAGATAAATAAAAACGACGAGACAAGAAATAAATAACTGTGCAGGCACCCACCACTTTCTCTACTATATACCAATACTCACTCCCAAGTAACCGACACCATAGAGTTTCCAAGCCCCGACTCTTCAAAAGTTGATGTATCATTAAAATCCAACGACTTTGAAGCACCCGGAATGGGTTGGGTCAACCGGAATGACTTTGTGCCACCTTCTTTCAGCTCAGAATAGCAGAATGACCACAACAGCTGAAATCAAACGACTAATTAATTATTTTCATAAAAAAAATTACACTATCCAGTAATCAATATGAATACATACAGCAACCAAGTGCAAAACCAAATCGAGCCAGGATCCAATTAGAGATAGCTACACGGTTACAAGGGAACACGGGTTTTACATGTACATGATTCAATGTTTTTATGAAATTGGTTAGAGGATCATTCTTTTTGAGTAAAAATCCTTACTTATATATGGTTAAATGTCAGAATTCTCGTAATAATGTAAAAAGCTGTTTCACAAAAATTACTACGACACAAAACATTGTATTATTATTTTATATCCCATGATTTTCACCACATATGTAAGTGCGTTTGTTCAAAAAGCAATGACAATAAAAAACAAATTCTACCAATTTCACTCAATTGGTTGTACAGCAGACCTACTAAAGAAGAGGGGAAAAAACAATAGACAAATAAAAAGTTCCTTCCATCCAGGAATAAGACCGACAAAATTTTAAATTATCATATAATTATAACTCCAAAACTGAAATAAATAAAATAGTTACCTGAACTGGGTCAGTACGAAAGAAATTCCTCTGAACTCTACGCCCATCAGGAAGACGGACACCAACCCTGCAAAGTAGACTTTTATCCCCCTTTGGTTCTTCGGGCAAAGGCAAATAAACAGGCTTCTGCACTTTCTCCTCTGCATTAGCATGACTCGCTTCTTTCATATCTCCATTGAATTCCTTACTGTTCTCCAAAGAGGCTGCCAATGCATGCTGTAATTCTTCATCTTCGTCTTCAACAATACTTTTATCTGCAGCCAGTGAAACATTTATGATGAGTAGTATTATGCAAGCTAAGCACTTCAATAAAAAACTTGAAGGGGGGTGAAGAAAAAAATAATAATAAAATAAAATAATAAATAAAACACCTACACAGCAATATCCAAACATACCAATTGGTTAACCTGATAAATAAATATTCTAGATGTTACGAATCTCTGAAGGAATGATATAAATCAAATAAGATGCCGCCAGAATGTACTCGATGAATGTACGCAATATGTTCATAAAATGTTATAGGTTTACTTTATCTAGAATATCTGTAGTACAGCTACATACATATATAAAGGTTACGCACTTGCTATAAATAGCCTGTAAAAATTGCACCAAAGGATAACTTACTAATAAAGGAAATTTTCATTAAGTTTTTTCCACCAAAAAAATCTAAGAAAAGCTAATTCCTAAAATTTGGAAGCCAGATTTTGTTCCATCCAACGAATGTTGTTAAAAGAAATAGCCCTTTTTCTCTCATTGAATAAACGCGAGATTTAAATTTACTTCAATCCAAATTGTTTGAGTATATTAGTACAAAATCTGCTTTTTTCTGAATTTTTACATAACATCATATAATAATTCTTTAATTTGGTATTTATGACAAGGTAATTGGTAACGACATATTTAAGTATAAATTTGTTAATTCATGATGATCACAAGATGCTAAATTGTCAAAAATAAGAATTGTATGATACCTCACTAGCTTACGCATATATATATATATATATATATATATATATATA